GATCATTCTGGGAGTACAGCTTGCCTATGAAATCTATCAAAAATGACAAGCCTTCTCCTCTTTGACTCCACACTAGGAATCATCAGGTTCTTCTACACAGAAAAAAGTGCATGAAAAGGGACTCAGGCTCAGGATGTCCATGCCAAGTACTAGAAACCAGTACACAGTGCTTATCTGTAAAACTGCTTTTTTTATTATTATTTTTTTTCTTGGTAACAAGCAAGGACATAACTGATCAAGATCTTTTGGCACTTGACTACAGATGACCCTCCAGATGTCACAAAAGCAAAAAAAAAAAATAGCAGCAATGAAAGACAACAGACTTGAAGACTGAGTCAAACCCTGGTTTTAAGTTTCCTGAAAGGGACAAGGAAGAAAAAGAAAGATGAATATATACAAAAATAATAAAAACGCTGCATATTCAGAACTTCTATTCTGAAGGGTAGTATCATAATCTTTATTGTACTTCCTTCTCTCTCCCAGTTTTGCCAAAGGTCGAATCTTAAAAGTAGTGTGTGCCTTTAGATACACCTAGTTTGAAAGATAACTGATGTTATCTGGAATAATTCTCCTCTATGCAGCATTACCCTTTCAGTTTATGAACCCCAGGTCTGCATTTTTCTCAACAACATAAAATTACTTTCCTGGGAACAGCTTCAAATCTACTACCATCATCAGAAAGTGCCTTACACTCAGCATTACGGAAGTTCAACATTTAACAACTTAAATCACACTGGGTGCGTGTGGAGAACTGTCCTTCAAAGTATGTCTCTCATTGAAATTGACTGTAATAGAGAGACGTAACAGAAAAAATAAAACAAAAATAAAGGAGGAACTGCTGGGACTTCACCAGGAGCTGTACTAGGCCTGGGAGCTGCCACTGGTGGGTCGTTACCATGCCCATTGTCGCTGCTGCTTGTTAGGAGAGAAGAAAAGAAGACAAAAGAGCGAGGAGAAGCAAAACCAAATAAAAGGAGCCAAGCTGAAAGCAGCCCTGACTGAGACCACCACAGGCCGTGACTTTGCCACCAGACACGGGTCCAGTGAGGAAAACAGTGTCAGACTCCTCACCTCTCCAGCACTCCTGAGATCATCAGCAGAAAGCTCTTCAGGGTAACAGCGGTGAGTGGCCCTGCCACCTGTGCAGTGCCCAAACTCCAAAAGAGCCATCCCCTGTGTGCTCAGGCACAGGGCAGCTTGGCTGCCAGCCAGAGGCACCAGAAGGATGAAGGCAGCAGCTGCTGCAGCCGTCCCTGCTGTCCCTGCCGCTGGTGCCACCTGCGCTGGATCTGCCACCGCTGCCACAACTTGCCTCACCCCTCCCAGACTTCTGGAGGACGTGAGCACAACATCACCATTCACACCTTTCACCCCTAACGCCTTCTCCCTCCGGGTGTGTAATTGGCCCCTTACTCACACGCACCTCATCGACCCTATATGGGAAAGGCTTCAGGCTCTATCTACCCCAAATTATAATAGCCTTTCTTTTTTTCTCTTTACCGACCGGGTACGTTTACATATCCAGTTTTTCCACACACACTTTGAAAACTTTTACAGTAAAGTGGTATTTTAAACATACAATCTGCGTGTGTGTGTGCTTCTGAGAGGAGCTTATCAATCGGTTACATATCCGGTGGAAGCAAACAGGCTCCCAGCCAGGGACTGACCCACCAAAATAATTCAAAGGCTATCCTGAATATATATAATTGGTGTCAGAAAATCCCAATAAACAGGGCAATTGTGCCCTGAGATAAGGTGGCTTCGACCCAAAACCGGGTTTGGACCACAACAGACCAAGAAAAAACACATTTCATCTACAACATATGCAAAGAAGTTGGTAGAATTTACGTTTATTTCTGTTATTAGTTCGCAGATTTATTTAGTTCTTTGTCATACTGCTGTATGCCACCATCTCTATGTCAGGTCTGAAGTCCTAAACCTATTCCACCTCCCAACAAGACATTTTGATGCCTCTGATGGAGGACAGGGAGGCAGTACTTAATCTTGCCTCAGCTCCTTATTTTAAGCTGTTTTGTAAAATATCCTTGGAAAGAAGAGGTATCTTTAGATAACACTCAGTAGACACAGAAAACTGGAAACAATGCTGGAGAGGGAAGGGAAACTCACAAGCATTCAGTCTATCAAGTGAAAAAGATGTACCAGATGGAAGAGAGTGATGTAATAGAAAAGCAAAACTAAGTTCCATCATAAAAACATAAATTAATAAAGAACCACAGTAAGATAGAAAGAAACTGTTACAAGCAATTTATGGCTTCTACAAATAATTTGATTTCTAACATCACTTATTCACATAAGCAGCACAACATTAGTAGCAACTGCAAGAATCACAAATGCAAATGTACATGGAATAAAAAGAGTCTATTAGACATGTGGGGTATACTGCATAAACATTTTAAAAGTCACAAGCTAGAAACTGAGAGCCAGTTTTGAAAGCAGGCTTTGCTTCTCAAACTAATTGGCTCTATTTTCACTTGAAAAGGAAACAAATTTACAAACCAAACCCTTAAAAGCTGCTCTTCAGAACAGAACTCTGAAGGATTTGAAAAAGAAGCTTCAATTGTCATTCCACATTAAGGAGCCATGCCAATAAAATATGTAGCCCTTCTCCCACACACCGTCCTACTCCATTTGTTTCCACCACAGAGATGCCAGTACAGTTGCCCATTGCATCACAGAGTGATTAACTGAAGAACCAGCTAGTTATGAAACTAGGTAGTAAAAGCTGGGGGAGGAGCAACTGTGTCTGGCAGCACACTTTCCTGATCCATTTTACTGCACAGCTGCACAACCAGCTGGACTAGGCTAACAAACAGGATAATATAAGGATGTGAATAATCAATACCTACTCAAGACATCATCACTGCTTAAGAAATGTAATTGGACTTGCAAAGTAAATTAAAACCATTCACTCAAAAAAGGTACCTATAGATTTTGTTCAGTTCAATAAAAAAAATTCTCAGCTAACCAGTTGAGCAAACAGAACAAAATACATTTGAAGCCACTGCCACATACAATGGAACACAAGTCAACATTAGAATGAAAAACAACACAATGATCATAAGGGAAGGAAAAAAAATTAAAATCAATCTTATTCCATACTTATTTTCTGCATTAATCTGAAATTACCACTAGGGCTTTTCTGGCTGAGGGTTTTTTGTTTGTTAAATTAGATGCCTTTTCCCTCTCCAATATTTACTCTTGCAACACTAGTGACTTTCTGTGCAATTCCAAGCAAAGGTTAAATGACACCAACTTACACAGGCTTGTCTTCTAAACTACTTATTTACCTCAGAAAGTAAAATGGACTTCCATTCGCTCTACATGAACAGTTAGTGAATCAAAGCTTCAAGTTCTCTCACAGAAGCCTTGTTTTCGTTGCATAAAACGCTAACGCAGAGGGCTATTAATTATTGTTCTCATAGTTACTAAATATTTTTGTTTATGTTGAAAATCACTGTACTAAACATGCAACGCATCATTCACATCTTCCTTATGTGTTTTGGAAAGGTAAATGATAAAACCCCTGCCTGTTTTATCAGTTTTCAAACGAACTCCAGATGTTTTGTTGATTGTCCAGCAACAATCAGTTGTCTAGAACTTGCTGAATTTTACACTCAGATCACAGTATAGTACAATTTCTAGCTATTATCTATACCAAGAAGACTACATTTTCACAATTTATTTTAGTGTAAACATTAATCAGACACGTACTTATCTCTAGAGACAAAGTTGGACAGTTGGACAGCTGGCTTCATTTAACTCACTGTACTATAACTAAACTAAGACAGTATATTTGTAACACTCAGTATAAGCTGACAGTCACAAAAAGAAAATAATTTTCACCCTTTGCCCCATCTCTCAATGCTTCCTGCCCTTAGGTTGAAGAGAATTAGGTGAACTGGAAATTCAGTTGGGGAATTCCACCTAAAAAAATCCAGTCTCACAATGTTGATCTTATCCTCAATCAATTCCCTGATTTGATTCATCACACAAGAGCTTGTTGCACATAAAGGAGCAGAAGAACAAGAAAACTGCCACGCTTTCAGCAGTAGTACTACCTTATGCCAGCTCAATATGCTCCTCAAATGACTGCCAAAGCAGAATCAAAATTCATACCTCAATAGTTTATAAAATCTATCTAGATAAAATCTATCTTCTGCAAAATGGCATTTGAAGTCTTTGAATAAAGAACAATCCATTGGTGATCTGCAGATTGCAGTGAAGTCAAGCATTTACATTCTTAAAACAGTGGACAGTTCTAAGCAAAAGGTTCCCAAGTACTGAGATAGTCTGTCACTCTTCTCCCTTCCCCACTGCCAAAGCACCACTTCTTTAAAGCCTGAATCAAACTATTAACCGTTTGAGTACGGAATTTAAACATCATCTACAAGGAGCTACACTGACAAAGACACACACATCAAGGTCTTAAATAGAAGCAGATGTAAGAATTAATTTCTAATCCCATAACTGAAACTTTATTAACTTATAAAGTGAGGTAACTCAGATGTGACCTCACCCCTTCTCCATTTTTCAAGGGTAAGTTTTGAATAATTTTAGTGATCTATACTGTTCAGCCTCTTCTATCAACAAAAATGAGTCAGGGATGTGGGCCAGGATATCTACAGCTTAGTTTTATTTCTTTCCACACACATCTCACACTTACTCTGGTTCACACTCTACATACAGTCCTGTTCACAATGTCACTCGGTGCCCACACATCTCTTCTTAAATCATCTCCATTTAATCCAGCACAACACCACTAAATCTCACCTCCCCTTTACTCCAACAGATTTGAAGTGTACCTGCTCCTCTAGTTCTGATCTCCAGGTGGATTTTTTCATTATTTTTTTTTTTACAAACCTCACATTCTAATACCAGGAACTTTCACTGTTGTTGGAATTTTTTAATTTATTTTTTTAATAGGCCAGAGAGAAGACAGTAAACATTTGAGAAACAGCAATACAACAAGCTTTACTTACCTTGAAAATACCAACCCAGTCTTTTTGATGAGGATGGATAAACTGGGTCAGAGTGTAGTGACATTCAAGATGTGTGTTTGGAAGGTAACTTTTTGCCACATTTTGAAAAATCACATGGGCAAAATTGGAAGTCTGCAAAGTGCTAGCTGAAGATGGAACTTCTTGAAAGGATGACATTATTGATCTGTAAAGAAATTGTACAGGTTGTAACTTCAATATAGTGGAAAAATACTCAACTTTAAAAAAATCTATTTGAAATGCACAAGACAGAGAAACCTAACTGGTTCCTGTTCTGAAAACAGATAGCTATAGACCAAGTCTACTCTCAGCATCACTCCAAAACAATCACTTCCCAGAATAAAAGAGTAGTCATTTCAGTGATGACATCAAGATGGAGAGAAAACATTGATTAGCTGAATGCCCCAAGATACAGTGGCAGAAAGTGGGAAATAAAACCAGTGGTGTGAAAATAAAGCAGGGATCTAACTTTATGAAATAGTCTTAACAGTTCTGGATGTGCCAGCACAGAACAAAGCTCTGTAGCTTTTCTACCTTCAACTTTTCTCACAACCTCTACTGCTCAGTGCTTTTCACTGCATTTTTATACATGAAATTTTGCATCCCCTCTCAGTAAAAGTAACAAAGTTGCATTTTAAGACATTGTTAAAAAACAAGAAAGCTATCTTAACAGGCAGAGTTTTGTATGGGGGTTGTTTTCTCTCTTCTTCAAAAGAGTTTTTTGCCTCTCTTTAGCAGTCTGTGGGTATCTTCCACTGTTCTCACTGTAACACATATGCTTCAAGTCCTGGATGTTTAGCTTCATGACTGTAAACAATGGACTTCATTGATAGCAGGAACATTTAGGTATGCGTGCAGGTTGACGGATTAATACTAATCAGCTGGACTTCAAAAGCTTTTAATCATGCTTTCCATTCAATACCTCATGCAGGATACACAGTGCTAAAAATTACAGCAATTCAAGATGCTTTATAAGCAGAACAAGAATGCCCCTTCCTCAGATTCGGCAGGATCTGCCAAAAATATAAGATGGGCAACTGAAAAGTTTCATGTGTTTGATTTCAAGGTACAATCACAAGTTGTCAAAACAATTTACATCAGAAGGATTTGGCTCTTATATATGTAATACATTTCTAGAAAGATAAACCATCCTATTCTTGCAATTGCTATTCAAAGTAATTTTACATTGACCATGCAAAGTCACAGCTTGAATGAGGTAACTGCCAAGCGCGTGACATAATATAATTACATTAATTGAAGATACATGTGGAAATCAATTTCCAAAGCCATGGGCCACTGCAAGTCTCAAAAACATCACAGATTAAAGGCTGGGTATTTATTGTAGACTTCAAAATTTTCTTTTCACTAGTTAAAAAATAAACAGCAAAAAGCATGTTTTCTGAAATAAAATGCACTCTGAAATAAACAGGTATTTATTATTCAGTAAAAAGAAAAGGTAAAAAGGGATTATTTTTTTTAGGCTTAAGCCCTCAATGTTTTAAGCTTGTTACTGCCCAATTTAGTGCAACACATGAAGTACATACAGGCAGCCATGACATTATTTTGATGGATCAGTTGTTAAATAAAAATAAGTTTTGTACCCTGAACAACAGAAGTAACAAGACAAAATACCAAGCTTATGAAGATTAACAGATATAAAGAAAAAAAACAATACAACAACCCCCAAGAAACTACACAAGCAAGAAACTGAGTAATGATTGAGACAGCTTTTGAGAGACAACAGGGTACAGATAAATCCTATCTCTCATCTAGCTTCAGAATCCAGAATAGCATAGGAAATTTTATGGCATAGTAAAACCCTGAAAACTCCTACACCTCTCAGAGGATTGCATTTAAGACATATCTCAAATCCACTCTGAACTATAAATGGTATGAAGCAACAGTTTCTACGACTCTAAGAAAAAAGCGTAACAGCCATAATTTTTTTTTCCAAACTCCTTCAGTTTTAGGAATTCAGTAGTACCTGAAGTAATACTGACATGAAGCAGACTGTTTCAGTTTTCAATACACGTTAAGTGCAAAGAGTAAACAAAGCATTAATAACAAAAACAATTGAATTTAACTTTTTTTAAAGCATGTCTATTTTCAATATTGGAAGTTTATTTTAAGTACATAGTTTTAAAAAGACACAAAAAAAACCCAGCCATTCCTTTCTACACACTGGTTGCCAGCGACCACAGCTGAGTAGCAGCCTTAGTGAAACTGGTAAACGGAGGCAGGTTTCCAAGCCCAAAGCAGAACTATTCACAAATCTGAATTTGTGCAGAGCAGCAGAGTCATCTGGGATTACGGTTGCCCAGCAGGAAAATCCCCGGAGCTTATGTGAAGCCGGGATCTACTTACAGTTCAAGGATAGTTTAGAGGATGCTGGGTGCTTGCTTACTAAGCTCAGAGCTACCGCCTAGGAAGAGGGGAGGTGAAGAAGGAAGAGCTATGCTTAGGCTTCAATACTGACATGACAAAGGACTCCTTCAGGGAGGCTGAAAGACGCGTTTGGTTTTACACAACGAGAAAAGCCGGCAGCAGGAAAAGCTCGTCAGGCAGGAAAAACAAACGCTGGACGAGCCGCACCGCCACAGACAGCTCCTCCCGGAGTCCTCCCGCCGAG